ATCTGAAGGTAACTACAGGCCATTGTAGACACACTGCTTGGCCAGCATTAAAAATCATTTCATTTGAAGTCCATTCAATTCTTTAATAACCTATCCAAATATACAGAAGCCAAGTAGATAATAAATATGACTTTTTTATGGCCTCATGTCCCTGCATCTTATTAACAAATGTTAGATGACCATGTGGATTTGTAATTGTCCCTTGACTTTCTATATTGCATTTTCCTTGCGTCCCTTGCTTTTATTCTGTTTCTAAATTCCCTTTCCTCAGACTCTTGGGCTTTATGTCTCTTCTCATTTCATGTTGAGTCCCGTTCCTTCTGCCTTGCTGGCTCCCTTTGACACACGCCCTCCCATTGGCAGCTTCAGCCCTACATGTGTTATTGTGTTTAATAGTGCAGCTCTGAAGGGTTGTAGCTGCGACACATAGGGAGGAAAGCATCTGTGACAGAGATGAGATTAACTCCCTTCTTTCCTTAAATCTTGCACAGAACAGAATTTGAGTTCAGGTGGTGGACTTGCTGTGGCTATTCTTATCGAATTACTTGAGATGTAGAATAAAATAAAATATTAGTTCAAGGGAATAATTCACAGCAAAGTATGATGCAACAGTATTGCACTTTCACATTATGTATATACACGCTGGTTTCTTTATTTGTTGGAGACTTTATTGGTGAGATGCATGAGCATGAGCTTCTGGCTCTGCTGCCCCAGTTATTAATCCCCATTCTCTCCTTTGGTGACCATACAAAGACTGGTTCCATGCCAGTTTGACAGCTGGGTGCAGATTGGTCTATGTACCTGTGTAACTTGGAGTTTCACAGTGGCCAAGCTATAGAAATTGAAATATTTACAAATTTTTAACAAGCTAATAAGTATTAAAGGAAGCTCTCATTGACCTCCTGTAGTTGCAGGCATTGTGGAGTAATTAATCAAAGTTCATAGCAGAAGCACTGAAGTCCTTGTCTAAGCCAGTTTAGCTCATCCTGCTTCCCATCCCAGCAATGGCTCAGCAGCACCGCTCACCCTCCTCCACTTCCCAACATTGACTCAGCAACTTAGCTCATCACCCTCCACCATCCCTTCTACCAGTCACTCAGCAGCTCAGCTCTCATTCCCAGCATTGACTCAGCAGCTCAGATCCCATGCTCTCCCTCCCAGCATTGACTCAGCAGCTCAGCTCCCCTCCCTCCCAGCATTGACTCAGCAGTTCAGCTCATTCCCTTCCACCATCCCTCCCACCATTCATTCAGCAGCTCAGCTCCCCCTCCCAGCATTGACTCAGCAACTCAACTCACCCTGCTCCCCATCCAACTATTGACTCAGCAGCTCAGCTTCCCCTCTCAGCAGTGACTCTACAGCTCAGATCACACTGTTCCCCCTCTCACCATTGAGTCATCAGCTCTGCTGCACCTGCTCTACTTCCTAGCATTGACTCAGCAGCTCAGCTCCCCCTGATCCCTCTCCCAGCATTGACTCAGCTGCTCAGCTCCCCCTAACCCCCCTCCCAGCATTAACTCAGCTGCTCAGCTCCCCCTAATCCCCCTCCCAGCATTGACTCAGCTGCTCAGCTCCCCCTTGCAGCGACAATTCACAGTTCAGCTCCCCTCTCCTCCTGCTATTTGGGGGAGATGGTACAGAAATGGCCTCATCAAAAAGCTGCTGTTACTTCACTATTCGATTACAGTCTTGACCAATCTGTAATGCCGTGACTACAGCAGAGAAAAGCAATTGGTCAGAACCTTGTATGCTGTTTGGCAGGGGTGTCTGGATTACAAATCTAGCTGGTTGGAATTAGAATTGTTTGGCATGCAGGGCAGTTCAGAAATATTTACTTCACCTGTGTATTTTTTTAATAACAATAATAATAGTACAATCCATTCATTTAAGCATATCCAAGCACTTCACCGAACAGAAATAAAACTCAAGGCTATATCAGTTTTGAGGTCAGCTTTAAAATAGGACGCGTTGTAAGTACCATGTCACGAGTAAGTCCGAAGCCTCTCCATGGGGAGCGACATGAAGACAAATATAGTGACTATATTCATATGTGTATAGCGAGTGAATCCGTCTTCATTTCCAAGGTAGTGGACGTGTGAATCATCCAAGCAGCGGGATCCGCTTTTCCTCAAATGCATCAAAATACTGCGGCCACAGAAGACGTACAGTGTCGTTAAAACAGCATTGTGCAACCGAGTAGATCAGATAACAAGCAATCACCAGCGTGGTGCCAAGACCGAGATGCTTAAAAATGCTGATACTTTCATACAATTTAGTAATATAAATGAGCCCTGGAGAATAATAAACGCACAAGATAAACATCAAGAACACTGTTTACAGTAAAAGGAAATCAGGAGTCAGGAGTGTACTACACAGCCATAGTCAGGATTGTACTACAGATCTGTTTTCTCCTGTGATGATATAAAGCTGACCATACACACAGTGGTGTATTTTGGTTTTGTGCTGCCCTAGGCAAGACTGAACTCGGGCACCCCCATCAATCTAAATTTGCCCCACCCCTTGCTGTTTAGGACATTTTGCGCAAACCCGTCAGTTACTGGATACAGCACACACAAGGTCTCAGGACAGCTGTACAGCGTCTTAGGGGTGCTGTGCAGGGTCTATGATGGGCTGTGCTTTCCCTGATACATGTGCGGTTCCTCTTACCTGAAGCTCAAATTGCCATCAGTACCAACAGGATACATTGCAGTCCCCAGCCTGCTTCTGGGACATCCCTCCATCAGATCACATGCTATGGTCAGCCCCGAGCCCTTCATAATTGAGGATTTAGTCAACATGCTATGTCCTCAATTATCTACAAACACTCAGCGATCACTGATCACTGAGTGTTTGCTCTCGCTCTCCTCTCTGACACGCTGTCACAGGAGGCTGAGCCAGCGGTGCAGGGAGGAGAGCCCAGCCTCCTGTGACAGTGCAACTGTCTCCGCCCTCACACCACTCTGCCGGACTGTGATAGGCGGCTGAGCGGTGTGGGAGGAGAGACGTCAGCCACTCACAGCGCTCTCCTCCCGCAGCGCTCGGCTGGCTGTCACTTTCTCTCCTCCCCGCTGGGACACAGAGCAGTGCCCAGCGGGGAGGAAAGAAACCAGGGATGCGCCAATGTATCGGCAAGAAAATGCCACTTTCGGCATTTAGCCAAAAGTGCAATTTTCGGCCGATATATCGGTGCATCCCTAATTACAATGTCGTTATACAATCTCCTGTAGATTCACAAATAACTAGCATGGGGGTCTGCCTGATTGTACTGTATATAAATGCAGTGATTTGCTTAGGTGGGCTACCACACTACATAGTTGTTGGTAAATTGAAAGAAAAGGGTACAATCAGATCTTAAAATGCGTGACCAGGTTTAGTTGAAAGGCGGACATAGAATTTAGAGGGGGGGGGGGGGGGGGTCAGATTCTCAGTAGCATTCCAACCACCATATGGCAATCCTGTTTCTAAACATGACCATTGTAAGTTTAGCAGAGTAAAGAGAGCAACAGATGCCTACAGAGTCCAGTTCAGATTTTATTTGTCATAAGAGTCAAAAGGATAGTCAACGCGTTTCAGGGGGCTTGAGGGGCTTGTGCGGATGTGTGTCTGAATAAATCTGGACAAACCAGGAGGCACACCTCGTTATGACTACCTCCCTCCACTTGCTGCCCCATGTGGTTGGGTGGGGGCATGGCTTGCCATTTACCGATGGCCTGGACCATCCTATGGAGTAGACATGTGCAATTCGTTTCGTTCCAAAAAAAATTTGGACAACTTTTCTGTAATTCGGACATTCGGACACATCTGAATTTCCGAATCCCAAAGCATCCGAATTTGTCCAAATCCAAATTTCCGTTTCCAAATTTCGGATTCCATCCGAGTTTCATTTTGAATTTCTGAATTGCATTCGGGAGCTCCCCAATGACATTCGAGTCTGGGAGCCTCAGCTTTAGTAATATATGTATATGGCTCCCCGACCTGAATAGCATTTAGGAGCTCCCGAATGCAATTCGGAAAATCAGATCCCGCATGCCATTCGGGTCTAGGAGATTCAGCTTTAGTATTAATATCTGTATATGGTTTTCTGTGGTATTCGCAAAAAATATTCGTAAATTCATCCGAAACTAACGAAAATTCGCATTTTGGCCGAATCCAAAACCCGAACCGAATTGAATTTCGGATCCGAATCCCAAAATAATGAAATATCCGAACCGAACTGAATTTTTCCGCAGCTTACATGTCTGCTATGGAGGTGTTCTCCTCCCTTCAAGCCCCAATTGATTGGTGCCTCAAGCTCCTTGATTGAATAGACAGGCATTGTAGTTGGAGAAGGGGAGTGTCCATTTCCCCTTGTCAAGCCGCAATTTTTAGGGTAAAGGTAGATCTGAAGAAGGGGGTACTACCCCTGAAATGCATTAGACGGTTATAGCTCTACTATACCTTTTGATGGCTTCCATGGTCATTGCTTTGTTCTGACTCTCCTGGCTCTATTGAGTGTTATTGGAGAGTGGTATGCTAAACATTTTGTACGGCACATGTGAGTAGACTGATGTTACATTTTTGTAATAAACATTATCACCCTAGGGGCAGGTGCTGTCTTATAATCTCGGTGCTGATAACAGATCCTCAAAAAGCTTGGATATATGAGGTGCTTTCATGAGTGTGCTAAAGAGACCTAAAGACTTTGTCCATTGGCAGTTTTATCTTCCTCCAGCAGTTCCTCAGTTATCAACTCTGTGCTCAGGCAGGAAACCTTACAGCCAGCTGTGACAGGGAGAGAATACAAGTAAAAAGCAGCACACACATCTCTCCCTAAGAGGAAAATCTGCATTATTATAACCTAAAAGGGGAGATTTATATTCTTGTAAATGCCCATTCTTGCCTCTAGCACTTTAAAAGCTGATACGTTCTTGACCTTTCAGCATTTATGACATTTTGGTGAACTGACCTCAACTGTGTATTCAAAGCATTGCATGTTTTTTTTTTCTTTTCTCTGTGTACAGAAACTGTATCCGGCTCCTGGGAGAAGACGGATTCTGGGAGGTGTACCATTTCCTGAAACAAGTCTATAACCAGCAGGACCTGGGTACCTTAGTCCCGGAAGAGCAGACTCTCTGTGAACCTCAAGTGATGAAGCTGTATCCTCATCATTGTTATAAAGTCCAGCAGCTCTTGTTCCTGGAAGAAAGGAAGGAAAAGGATTCCGGGGATTCCTACTTTTCCTGGCTATAGTGTCCTCTTCTTTTTTAAATATGCTTATTTACAGTAGAGGACCGGGACAGAAACAGGATTATAGCGATGAGTCAGGATTGCATCTGTAAACCTTCAGCTCATAGAACATCTGATTGATCACACATTACCTACACACATGTTGTGTTCAGGGGGCCCCCTGAACGCTGCAGGGACCCACTACAAAACAAGGAACAGAACATTTTTTAAGAAAAAGAACAGAAGATTTATGAAAAGGTGGGCCTCCTAGATAAAACAAAAAGCTTTTGTTGCAACACTCAGAGATGTCCTCAGTCTGATGACCAGTATCAGTCAATTCACTCTGAGCCCAAGTTGTCCTGTACCCACCTAAACCTGTGACTCTGACAGTGAAAGGAGAAGCAGCACAGCCATCAGCTGATCTCATTTCATCACTCTTCTTTCTCCTCCTATCAGCATGCATCTTGTCAGCACATGAACTGACTGGCTCATTGTACTGCTTCTTCCCCTGACATTCCAGCCCTGCTGTGCAGTGCAAAAGGCTGGTATCAGGTCACAGTCAGGTACTTACACTGCTTGCATTTCAAAATACATTTGATGTTGTATTAATGATTACAGAGCAGCATTCATTTGCGTCTTTTATATCTGCCTGGAGTTCTGCTTTAAATGTTTTCCAATCATGAGTGCTTGTACGTGTAGATGTTTCTCCGCTCCTGCCTCTCTGTGGGTGACACACATCAGAGGAGGAGTTTCCCGAATGTTGTATTTTGTCCGGTATATTAGCCTCTTTGGAAGAAGCCCACTGTGCAGCCGATTCTTTCATCCGCACTATAAATCTTCCTTGAAGCAGTGAAGAATTTCCTCCGACATTAACACCCAGCGTTCTGGTGAGCAAGCCGACTTTAAGGCTTGTGTCCCCACTAGGGAGATTCACCCTCTCTATTTTTTCCTGGTGAATGTTATCCTCTCACTTCCCGTTGTAGCTGTTGGGCAGGAAGTGAAGGGAAATCTCCCCAGTGGGACACAGATGGCAAAAAAAAAATCATGACGGGGTTAAAACTCTCCCTCCCCATCCAAGACTAAAGAAAAAAGTTTGGGATCCAATTCTACCTTAAGAATTTCTTCCATCAGTTTGCCAATATCTTCCTTCCCATCACTTACAGGGAAATTTCGGCCAATCTACGGCAAGCATTTAAGAAACATGGAGCAGCTCTATCCTCTCGTCTCCAATCCCGCTGCTTGAACCTCGGTGCCTGGTAAAGCTTCTGCCGGAGCCTTCACTGAGCAATGGGTAAAAAGCCGGCACTCGCAAGGGGGTCCGTCCATCCAGTACTTTATGTGTAAAAACGCATAACAGCAGCAAACAAATGCTTACATGTTTTAGCCCCCCAAACTGGACCTTAGTCATTTTTGCAAATAAAGTATTGGATGGACGGATGCCCTTGTGGTTGCCGTTTTTTTTTTACCTACTACGGCCCGTGTTGTTTTATTGTTTTCAAAGCCTAAAGTAGAAATAGAGCCAAAACTTTCATCTTAATAATCTGAGAACCTTTTTAGTTTTGGATAGATTAAGGAAGATTTTTTTTTGGCCATCTGTTTCAAGGACCGAGAGCCAGACACTTGCTCGAGATAGGAGGGGACCCAGCGGCATACATTATCCTGCCAGGTGAAGTCCCCTCCTCTATCTATCACCAAGATGGCCGTCGGCAGGTAACGGCGGTACCGCGCGTGGCATCACTGCGGGGTGTCTCTGGATGCCTCTGGCAGGCTCCATGGTCCCTTGGCACTGGCGGTCAGAGGGAGTTCTCCCTCTGACCAGAAGTTCTGGTATCGGGTAAGGTATTGGAGCATTTGGACGAGTACGAGTACTCGCCTAAATACTCGGTATCGGCACTGA